GTTAGGTCGGTACGACCTTTTAATTTAGGCTGGCGACAGTGGCTCTTACGTATTTGCCCTTAGGCGTTTTTTAGTTAACTGTTTCAGGCTCGGTCTCCGAGTCGGATTTCGACTCGAGCTCACTGACCCTCAAGTTTTTGAATTTCAAGCTGGCCCTTAGGCTCATACGTATTGGGTCGGTACGACCTCTAATATGGGCTGGCGGCAGTGGCTCTTACGCATTGGGTCGGTAGGACCTCTAATATAGGCTTTATTTTCCCTCGTTAAAGACTTTTTGAAGTTTTGTGTTCGCCAGACTTTTCGACGGCTCGATAAGAGCCTCGATTGTGAGCCGTTATGTAGCGATAAATGATCACCTCGGGAGGTTTCGCTCGATGGCTGAATTGTTTCGAAGCCTACTGTTTGGAGCTGATATGATCGAAGCTCTTTCTCTTGTGCCGAGGGTAGCCTGCTTAACCGGTTCTTTTCGAAGTAATTGAAGGCCTGTGATTTTATAGCAACGGTCGAGCGTCCCCGAGTCGCGTTAGTTTGGCTGGTACAGCCTTGTGACCATAGTCATTGTATTTGGTCGGAGCCTTTTAGTCCCCGAGTGAAGTAACTTCGGTGTCTATATCGAGGGTATGCCTTTTTAGGGGTCTTACAAGTTCGGATATATAGCCTTAGCTTTAAGACCGGGATTATGCCTTTTTGTAAGGTCTTATAACTTTTACATGCCTTACTTGAGGTCTTACAGTTTTGGTTACTTGGTACAAGTGTAGTTCATGCCTTGCTTGAGGTCTTACACATTTTGGTTTTGCCTTATAAAGGTCTTACGAGCTCGAGGTTGCCCACATGGGGTCTTATAGCCTCGGGATTTCGATAAGTCGATGGGGTGGTAGTCGGCGACAGTCCCCGAGATATTGAGAGTTTCTTGGCTTTGGAACCGTTTTGTGTAAACTTGGAATTGCCTCATTGAAGGCTTATTTGTTCGAAGTTTTTGGCCAGGAGGTCATGTGACTTCGAGTTTTTGACGTCAGTCCCCGAGTGCTCGGGAATTTTCTGGCTCTGGAGCCGTTTCTTGAAAAAATAGCAGATTTCTTCGAAGCGCAAAGCGTTTCGATGGAACAAATATTTCTTGATTACTTGGCACAAGTATACATGTTTTCGCTGTCAAGGGTTCGATTATTCTATACGGACACGGTTCGTTCGACCGTTTGGCCCGATACATCATTTTCCTATCGAAACCCTTTTTAGCACATCTTGACTTCTCCGACGAGGTGACCTCTCGGGGGGGATGCCCCCAGTATTCGAGGTTGATTGAAGAGAAGCCTTGAATACTTGTTGAGTTTTCCTTAGGTAGCACATAGATGTTGCCTCGTTAAAAACCTTGCCGGTAAAACCCTTCTTGGGATAAAACCCGATCGAAGGAAAATAGTGCAACGCATGCTTTGGAACCTAAGGTCTTCAAGCTGGAGATCGCTTCGACTGTTCCAATCGGATATCTGCGCACAGGTTAGTGTAAAATGTAAATGAAAAAGGGAAATGATTATACCTTAGTGTTGATGGCGCTTCGAGCCTCGATATGCTCCAGCCGTTTGCTCCGATGACGCGGTACAGTCCTTTACTCATTTAGTCGGGTGTAGCCGAGAATATATCTCGCTATTGCTTTCTCACTATTTGCTTATCTTTTGGCTCCTTCGATGCTGGAGGTGTTGAGGCCGGTGCCACATCGTGCACCGCGAACATCTCTCTCGCTGCATGTTGTTCTCCGTAGACGGTTTTTATTCTGTCCTTTGTCGTAAATTTCATCATTTGATGGAGGGTGGATGGTACTGCTCTCATGCAGTGTATCCATGGCCTTCCGAGCAAGGCGTTGTACCTCATGTCTCCTTCAATGACATGGAACTTGACATTTTGGGTTGTGCCGGCCACGTTGACCGGGCGGGTGATTTCTCCTTTTGTTGTCTCGCGCGCCATGTTGAATTCGTTGAGGACTCGAGAGGCGGGCAAGATCTGGTTGAGCAGTACGAGCTGCTCCACCACCCTCGACCTGATGATGTTGGCCGAGCTACCTGGATCCACAAGTACACGTTTAACTTGAAATGTATTTACAAGAAAAGTGATTACCAGTGCGTCGTTATAAGGTTGAGACAGGGTCTCGATGTCCTCGTCGCTGAACGTGAGAGCGTCCTCGGGTATGTAACCCCGAGTTCGCTTTTCCCTGGTGATCGGATATTTTTGTTCGTTTGACGATGGGTTCCTGTGGGATGTCGACTCCTCCAACAATCATGTGGATGACATGTTGTGGTTCTTTTGTTTCATTCTTTCTGTTCGCCTCTCTTTCCCGAAATTGATTTTTGGCTCGGTCGCTAAGGAACTCTCGGAGGTGCCCTTTGCTGAGTAGTCGGGCTACTTCCTCTCGGAGCTGTCTGCAGTCTTCGGTCCTATGACCGTGCATGCCGTGAAACTCGCACACTAGGTTGGGGTTCCTTTGTGACGGATCTGATTGTACGGGTTTTGGCCACCTGGTTTCTTTGATTTTACCGATGGCAGAGACGATGTCTAAAACGTCAATGTTGAAGTTGTATTCGGACAATCGGGGTGCCTCCGTCGGTCCTGTGTGTCTGTCGAATTCGGCTCTGCTTACGAGTCCCCAAGGATTGTGACCTCGATCTATCCTTCGGTCATTTCGGAGTATGTTACATCTTGGGGCGTTTCTTCTATCTTCAGTGTATGGTTGGTACCTTTCCTTGTTTGGTTTTGGCTCATTTGCTAGAAGCGTGCTAGGATATACTGAGCCCGAGGGGGCTCCTAGTTGGTCGTCCTCGACCTTGATCTTCGATTGGTATCAGTTGTGGACATCCGGCCAGGTCACGGCGGGATATTCGACCAAGTTCTGCTTCAGCTACTTCGAAGCTACCGAGCTTTGCTCGTTCAAACCTTGAGTGAAGGCCTGTACGGCCCAGTCGTCGGAGACTGGTGGTAATTCCATTCGCTCCATTTGAAAGCGACACACAAACTCCCGCAACATCTCGTTCTCTCTTTTTGATTTTGAAGACGTCGGATTTCCTTGTAGCCACCTTGATGGCACCGGCATGTGCCTTTATGAAAGAATCTGCCAGCATGGCAAATGAGTCTATTGAATTCGGGGCGAGGTTGTGGTACCACATCATGGCCCCCTTCGAAAGTGTTTCTCTGAACTTTCTTTAGTAGGACGTACTCAATCTCGTTGTCCTTTAGGTCGTTGCCCTTCACTACACAAGTGTAAGCGGTGACGTGCTTGTTGGGGTCCGAGGTTCCGTTGTATTTCGGAAGGTCGGGCATTCTGAACTTCTTCGGGATGGGTTTTGGAGCAGCATCTTGTGGGAATGGTTTTTGTACGAACTTCTTCGAATCTACACCCTTCAGGATCGAGGGTGTGCCCGGAATTTGATCGACCCTAGAATTGTAGGTCTCCACCTTTTTGTCATTGGCTTCTATCTTCTTCTCGCCCGATTCAATCCTCTTCGTGAGGTCCTCGAGCATCTTTATGATAGCAGGATCGGCTGCTGACCCGTTATTGCTTGATCTTTCTGGTATTTGTTCGGCTCGAGGAGCCGCCCCTGGTGCTGCTGCGCTTGGAGTTTTTTGGTGGCTTTGTAGTTGAGCAATCGCCAGCTGTTGTGCCTGCAACATCTCAAAAATAACATGAAGGCTAACCTCTCGCTCTTCCTGAGCTAGGGTTTTCTGAGCTTCTTGTTGGTTCTCTTGGCGTATACTCATGTCGGTATGGGAGCTTATGTTGACGTGTTGGGCGTTGCGCGAGACCACGTTCACGAGAATTGGTTCTGGTGCATCCTCAGGGTTTCGCGGTGGTACACCAATACCCGGAACAACTACACCATTCTCTCCATGGTCCTCAGGACCGTTGTTCTCCCGTGCATTCATTGAGTTTGACATTTTGACCTGAAATCAAAGATGCTCTGGACAAGAAAAAGTGTGAAAGATAACTCGCGTTATGTAGTAAACCAGCAAAAAAACAACCACTATTATTTTTAGCCCCATGGTGGGCGCCAAACTGTTTACCTTGAAAATGGTGATAACAATTAGATTTGATTTTGTGGTTCTAAAAATACGTGATCTGTTTTTATGCTAGTTGTTAAGCAGTAGATGCTAAGTGCGAGACTAGAAAATAAGGTAAAAACTTTGAAGGCAGTATGTTTGAGCAAATCGAATGATAGAGAATCGGGGCCTCGAGCTGGCCTATACGGGGCCTCGAGGTCGAGCTAGACACTAAGCTGTGAACAGCCGATGAAGGGCTAACAGCTTTGAGAGCTTTGATGAAGGCTCATTATGATCAATAATAAGCAATAAATGAAGAACAATTACTAGAACACAGTAAATGTTAGCAATAAATGTGAGTAATAGGACAAAGAGAGAATGTCTTTAAGTTAGAGAGCAGAGAATGTCTTTAAGTTAGAGAGCAGAGAATGTTCTTGTATTGAACGTTGTATGTTGTGTGTCCTCCTCTTACAAAATGACAAGGATCCCCTTTATATATGAGGGGAAATCCCAACATAGTGCGGATGCTTTTATTACAAAGAAATATAGCTGGTATAGCTATTCGCTAGTTTGGTATGGACTAGTGCTTCTCTTGCAGATTTTGTCAGCTTTGATCATATGCCTTGGGTACTTCCCGCTCTTTCATGGTAATCATCGATTTGCACTGCCTCGAGGTCAAACGCTAGGAACCTTCGGGGTCGAACCTCGAGCCATGCCTCGAGCCTTTGGAGACGCGCTTGCGAAGCGCTACATTGGCCATAAAATCGGGCCTTCTGATTTTTACCGTATATTTGTTGATAACCCAAATGCTGGAATGTTTGTCTTCTACTTTTTGTGCTGAGAAATGTATACTTAAAGAATTATATGATCTCTTTTGCTGCTCCTAGCCATTTTTTCTGTGATATAGAGGAATTTCACCACTTTTTTATATTCTTACATTTTTTATTTTTCTCATTTCTATTTCCTTTTCTTTTTCACAGAGCTGAACAAACTTATGAATATACTCCACCTGAAGCTCTTTTGAATGCCAGTTGGTATCAAGGGCTGACTCTCACTAGTATGAAGTATGTCAGGTTCTTGTTACTTCTGAATTTTAGTTTTGGTTTTATGCCCGTTATTATGTCTCCACAGTTGTATAACATAAGTTGTGCATTCGTCATATGCGTCTTTTCAGTATCTAATGTGTAATTTGGAACTGAATGACTCTTGAAGGCAACCAGATTTTTATTCATCATTATGATTGGTATTCACTTAATGTAAATTCATTCATTAACTCAAGAACATCAGCGCACGCAAGGGTGTGGCCTAGTGGTCAATGAAGTGGGTGAGAATCATGAGGTCTCAGGTTCTGATCCCAGCAGAGGCAAAAAACACTAGGTGATTTCTTCCCATCTATCCAAGCCTTGGTGGATAGAGTTACTTGGTACCTGTTGCTGGAGGGAGGTGGCAGGTATCCCGTGAAATTAGTCGAGGTGCGCGCAAGCTGGCCCAGACACCACAGTTATCCCAAAAAAAAAAAACGAAATAAAAACTCAAGAACATCAGCTTAATCATAAGTGTTTATTGTAAATGTTACATACACTAGTCTCACAGAGCTTCTCATTATGTTTGTGTTGAACAGGTATGACATGTGGAGTGTTGGTGTAGTGATCTTAGAACTGGTTTTGGGTACTCCAGACGTGTTTCAGGTGAGTTCTAGGACGCGTGCTCTTTTAGATCAGCACCTAGAGGATTGGAACGAAAGCTTGAAGGAGCTAGCTTACAAGTAAGTCCAGTTTAGAAATGATTATGCCAACTCGATAGAGTACTTTTTCGACTTCCTGGAGAAAAATTCACATGTTAACCATATATGTTGCATTTTATTTTGATTATTTTTCCACGTGGAAGGTGATTGGTATCTTGTTTTACAATATGGTAGTATATATAAGTATTACATTGTCTTCAGTTAATCGTCCACAAAAAGATGTGGTCGATCTGCCTTAAGTACCACTGAAGACAAGGTGTCTGATTTCTGCACAACTGAAATCAGAATCTTGAGGATTAAAAGTTGATGAAACTATGTCTTAACCATGACTTATATTTCTGCAGCAATCTGTGTATAAGGTGATGGGAATATGGAGAAAGAATAGAGTTGTAGTGTGAGAGAATTTTAAGAGAATAGAAGATGTATTAAAGACCTGATGATTTGGTGAATATAAGACACACCTATTTATAGGTGTTAAATACAAGACATGTTATATTTTTCAATGTGGGACGTCTAACACCATTACATTACTCTTCTAATACTCTGACATTATATCGCTAACAGTTACATTCTAACACGAATCTGAAGTTACTCTTCTTTGTAGTTGACTTGCTGTGTGTACCTTAATCACATGTTAAGACACAGCCAGGAATTTTGATTGAAATACGTGGTGTTATTTTGGTAGCTAATAACAACTGATTTAGATTTCAAATTTTAAATGACTTCGATTCATTAGAAAATAAAAAGGAAGTTAAATTCCTGAAAAGATCTTAAGCCAATTAGCAGGTGCCGAGTGCTTGGTACTTAAGTCTGTTAAGGGAAAACATCATATTATGCTTCGTATATGATTGAGTATTTGTAAGGAAAAGTTCATCCATAAACCCCACAAAATTTAGGGCTTTTTCCTTTCAAATCACCAACAGTCTTATTACAATGACTTTCAATTTTTTCCCACTCGTATTAATTTATATAAGATTCTTCGATGGAGATTTGCTCTAATCAATTTGTGCTACTCCTTGTTAGTCATTGCATTGGAGAGGAAAGGTTTTTTACTTTGTATCAATTAATAGAGGAAAGGAGCTTTACACATGTACATGGTCTGTCTGATGATGGGAGCATGAAAAAGATAATTTTGGTTTGAAGGATTGCTCTTACTCTTTCCAGTTAGGTTGGCATTCTGCTAAATATAGCGCTGCAATATATTTTTTGACAGGCTTAGATCTTTCATGGAAATGTGTATTCTGAGCCCTGGAGTTACCTCAAAACTTCATCAAACTAGAGCAAAATATGACCAGGTGAGTGGCCTTCTTTCTAAATCTATTGGTCTACACACATCCTATGTGTTGCCAGGGTTTTGTCTGAGAGATTTATGTTTGACAATGACAATGACAAGTATTGTTATTGCTTGTTGCTACTGCTCTTTTTTCATTTTTCCTCGTGCCGAGGGTCCACCGGAAACAACCTCTCTACATTCACTGTAGGGGTAAGGTCTGCGAACTATCTACCCTCCCAAGACCCCACTTGTGGGATTATACTGGTTTTTTTTTTTTGTTGTTGTAATGACAAGTATTTCTTAGGCACTTTCAATGTGATAAAGTTTTGACACTTAATTGGAACTATTGCAAAGTGGGTTTGTTTTAGTTTTGTATTGAGCAATCAGTACGTCATTAAAGATCACCTTAGTTCAAGCTCTTGCAATGATGTTCAAGTTACACCAATACAGATTAGATTTATTCAATGTCATCCAACTGATTCTTTATTCTTCTATCTCATTTTTCCATTTTTTTCCGTATCTTACCAATATAGTGGATGTTTGTTATTCGAACACTTCCATGGTGGTGCAAGTCTTATACCTGTTTATGGCAGGAGATATTAGGTGGTGGAAACATATTTCATTTTCATATCTAACCTGTGAAAAATGCTTTCCCCACATTTCTGAAGCTGACTAGTTTTGGAAGTTTTATACCGTGTGAAAGAACATCTCACATGTAACAGGAAGTATTAGGTGGTGGAATATTGTGATTCAGTTTCACATTAAATCCGTGAAATGCTTTTCTCAAATTTCTGAGCCTAATGGTTTTGTGACGCATCATTTGTCTGATAAGTAGACTGAGTTAGTCGAGTCTCACTTCTCCACATTTGCAGTTGAAAAGCTAGCTGGTGTCGGTCAATATTTTCAGATTTTATGTGTCAATATGCTCTTTTCTCTTTTATTTGTTTTTTTATGATATTAGTTTCTTAGTCTAACTATTGGAGTGAATTATTCACATTTCACATCTTTCCACCGTCTATTCTGAGAGCTTATTCAATGTTTGAGGTATACCACTAAACTGTGTTATAGCCGTGATAATTTCTAGAGATTGGGAATGATTAGCTTCAGTGTTTAGAGCTCATCTACATTCATTTAAATTCTTATTTGTTCATTCAGGCCTCAGTTTCACCAGCTCCGTGGAAATGCTCTGAAGAGTTCTTTTCTCGTCAAATAAAAAACAGGGATCCTCTGAAGATAGGGTTTGTATTCATGTCTGCTCTCTGGACTCCCTACCAGAATCCCGATGCCTTTTACCCTGATCAAAAGGACAAACTATGAGGCAACAAAGTTTCAAGTTGCTAGCTCACTGAGAATACTTTTTGTTGGTGCAGGTTCCCAAACATATGGGCACTGCGACTAGTACGTGAATTATTACAATGGAATCCTGTAAGCTCTGTCTTCAAAAAGTCTAACGCCTAAAACCTACATTTGACGCATATGTTGTCTATTTGGCATTTCTCCTTGTTAATTAACTGAGATGAAATTAGTATCTGATTCTGTGGTCTGTTTACTGCATCGTCATTTCAGGAAGATCGACCTAGTGTCGATGAGGCTCTAAAACACCCATACTTCTCGCAAAGGTAATCAGAAATACCAGGCGGGACAACTGTTCCGGTATGAACAACTAAAAGGCAACAAAACCTGCTCACCTGTACTTACCCGGCGGTTTGTGATTTGAATGCTCGTGGCCATCCACATGTCGATGTCAATTCTCTCTTTCTTGAAATGGCTTTATGGGATGCTGTGGCTCACACTGCAGTCAAGGTTATTTCGTTGAATTTATTGTCTGGTGGGTAAGCTGGATGAATTAGGGAAGTTGGCAGCAAAGAATGAAGAACTGGGAGAAATTTGATCTTTCTTCACTTCTTGCCTCTACAATGAAGCACACAATTTCATGTAACCAATATCAAAATATCTTTTTTTTTTATAAAAAATTTATCTCAGGAGGATAAGCATGTCATATCTTTTACCATTTAGGCTGTATATACGGATAATGTAAAGTATTCACAATATCAATGTATCAGTGTAGTTTAACCAGTTGTAGTTACAGAGAGTCATGGGAGCTTTAATTCTTTGGTAGCTCATGGCAGTATATTTCCGAAGATTTATCCTCTAACCCTTTGCAGTTTCAGCTTCATGAATGATTGCATGCGGTTGATGACTGCAAGAACCAAAACACCCAGAAGCAGCACACTCGTCCATCAAGTAGGGCAGGATGTAACTGATAAAATTATGTCCTTCAAGGTGAAACCAAACTCACAAGGTAATGAATCATTACATTTTAGCTAGTGGAGGACACTTGGATTACAGACAAATGCTAGTTAAATTGAAAATAGATTCACCACTACAGGTTGAGGTGGGATGGGAAGTATCATTCATTCTCAACCAGAAGGCTCGGTTCGAACTTTGGGAATAGAGTCGCCTTTGTTAATGAGTATTTTACCCCAAAGTGGGATCCGTCACGCGATTTGGACTTAGTCGGCCCTAAAACGAGTATCGAATATCGAGAAAACCAAAAAAAGAAAAAGAAAACAGATTAAGACATAATGAATTAGTTTTACACATAAAAATCTCCATAAATATGACCGGAGAGATGTTTGCTTACACCTTACTTTATATTGAAAGATGTAAGAAGCTTGCTTACCGTAATACTTCTTGAAAAGGTCCCCTATCATCTAGTAAACAACTCTTTGTTCCATTCCGCTTTAGGAGGTGCATCTTAGTCCTATAAGCTAATGCCTACCAGTTTTCCCTAAAAATATTCATAATAAACCACTTTAACAAGAAAAAATTAGGGGGCATTTGCATCTATACCCGTTTTTTGTGCTACATTTTAACTTGTGCCCGCTTTGCAAAAAAAATTGCAAGCGTACCCGCTTTTTCACATAACTTCAGCCCACGGGGTTGAAGTTTTTCTTTTGTACTGGAAAACTTCAGCTGAAGTTTTTGTCTTTGTAACCGGAAAACTTAAGCTCTAGAGCTTAAGTTTTCCAGTTATAAAATAAAAACTTAAGCTCTAGAGCTTAAGTTTTCCAGTAATAAAATAAAAACTTAAGCAGTTTTCCAGCTTAAGTTTTCCAGTTATAAAATAAAAACTTAAGCAGTTTTCCAGCTTAAGTTTTCCAGTTAAGTTATAAAATAAAAACTTAAGCAGTTTTCCAGCTTAAGTTTTCCAGTTATAAAATAAAAACTTAAGCAGTTTTCCAGCTTAAATTTTCCAGTTATAAAATAAAAAATTTAAGCTCTAGAGCTTAAGTTTTCCAGTAATAAAATAAAAACTTAAGCTCTAGAGCTGAAGTTTTTCTTTTGTTACTGGAAAACTTCAGCTCTAGAGCTCTACAGCTGAAGTTTGCCAGTTATAAAATAAAAACTTAAGCTCTAGAGCTTAAGTTTTCCAGTTATAAAATAAAAACTTAAGCAGTTTTCCAGCTTAAGTTTTCCAGTTATAAAATAAAAACTTAAGCTCTAGAGCTTAAGTTTTTCAGTTATAAAATAAAAACTTAAGCTCTAGAGCTGAAGTTTTTCTTTTATACTGGAAAACATCAGCTCTAGAGCTGAAGTTTTTGTCTTTGTAACCGGAAAACTTCAGCTCTACAGCTGAAGTTTACCAGTTATAAAATAAAAACTTCAGCTCTAGAGCTGAAGTTTCTATGTTGTAACTAGGAAACTTCAGCTCTAGAGCTGAAGTTTTTGTCTTTGTTTCTTGTACTGTTTCTTGTACATTCGTCAAAGGAATTACATGGAAATATCTAGCAATTTTTGGCGGATAGTCTTGAAATATCATGTTTAAGTAGCTACATATTATTTCCCGTTAAAATTTGTTAGAATGGTCAATGAAAATTTGACGATTACATATCGTGCAAAGCTAAATCCAGAAAATCTATCTTCTTCAGTTACCGCAAAGCATGAAACTAGCAAATTCCAATCTCATATTCTATTTGTAAAGGCTTATCTCAAACACTAACTACAGTGAAGAGCAAGAACTGTGGTATTGAAGAAGAAGAAGAAGAAGAAGAAGAGGAGAAGGGGAGGAGAAAGGGAAGCTGAAGTTTTTTAAAAAGTGGGTACGAGTGCAAACAGAAAGACAAAGCGGCTACAGGAAATTTTTACAAAATTGGGTGGGATGGTCATATATTGGGCCTGCTATGAGTTTTTAGCCACTATTTGAAATGTAATAAGGAAATAGCCACGAATATAAAATTTCACGGAAGAACTTATTAGATTAAATTCCATTTATTAGATTAAATTCCATAATGCTGGGGTTCTAATTTTAAGAGCTCTGAACTCCAAATATCGGTGGTGGAGTTCACATTAGTTGGTTTTTGAACTCCAACGTAATATACTGGGTTTCACTTGTCAAAACTTTGTTGTTTCGTGTTTTAATGTTGGGGGTATTTCCAAACTTTTTGTGCAAAACACAAAATTTTCGGTCGACCTGAATTAATTGCATTCGCTAGCCAAAAAGTATATTAAAAAAATTACATTTTGTTCGCTATTATTTTTATAGCGGCTAATAGTATATATTCCTCAAAAAATAGCCATGTCAAAAGAGTCTAAAATTTGATTAGTGATAAAAAAGGTAATTATTACTAATTTCTTCCTTTAACTAATCGGCAAAATCTTTTTTTAAATTATTGGCCCACAAAACCCCTAGCGTTCAGCGCTCCAGAACTCCCAATATGCATTCAACTTAGGGTTCTCTTCACTTTTGCTACCGTAGCCTAGACCAAATCAACGCTCTAGACTGCATTCGCAGATTCCGTCTCTCAACCTCTTGAGGAAGTGCTTCTTTGACTTCCTATAGATTCTATTTTGCGTTTTATGTGCGTATCCAAATATTTTAAGAATCGTATTAATACCTATGAGTTTGCTATAATTCAACTCCATGAGTCCTTAAACTACAACTTTATCCTCATAAATTCCCTCATCAACACTTCTAATTTTTTTGTACTTGTGAGGAAATATTTTGACTCGGGTACGTCTCAATAAAACCGCGGCCTCAAGTCAAATTTTAATAAGAGTCTTTTCTTTATTCTTTTTGTTTATAAGTTAGTTATCTTACAAAATATAATATTAATATTTACAGTGGTTTCTCTTTTTCTTTCTTTTTGTATGTAATCTAGTTATCTTACAAAATATAATATGAAATAAGATGTTAGTCACGTATTTACAACGTGTTACCTTAAATCTTATTATAAAAATATTATTTACCAATTTGAAGGTTTGTAGCTTAATTCAAGGTTTTAAAATATTTCTATTATTAAAAAATAGACAGTCTTTCTTTCTACGAAAAAGGGTCAAATATGTCCCTCTACTATTCAAAAATGTTCACTTATACCCCCGTTATAGTATTGGTCCACCATAGCCCGTCATAAAACTGAGCAAAAATACCCCTCTACCGTTAGGACCCGTGGCCTGGCATATCGTTGAGGTGGATGCCACATGGTATGCCACCTCATCTCACCTATCCCATTTTACTCCCTCCCCTACTTCTTCTTCGCACCTATCCCATTCAATTAGGGGTCGTAAGTAGACAATGTGGAAAATAAATCGGAGTTTATTGATCGAAAGAATCTCATTTTCTAGTTTATTATCTGTTTGTTACATGAATAATTTTGTTAATTAATTTGCAATAATTAATTAACAACCAGTGAAGTCATATACATGTTTGAACTAAGTACTGGAGACTCTGAATATATGGAGGAAGCCTTTGGAAGCAGGTTTCCTTTGGGAATTTATGCTTAAAGATATTTAGGTAGATTTCACAGGCAAATGTTGTTCCTCAGTTGTGTATTTCCTTTTGTATCGATGTGGGCTTTAAGTTAATTATCATTAGCATGTAGGTCTCTTCTATAGGCCAATAACTCCAATAATATCATTTTATGAAGGAGGTATTACTGAAAATTTTCAATTCAGTTTAATTTTTGGTGAAAGAATGGTTGTTTGATGATGGTCAAGACTAGTGATTTGCGGGTGGTGAAAGAATAGGTGCGTGGTGAAGGAGGAGATAATGTTGGTGGTGGTTAGGTGAAGAGGGAGGTGATGGTGAAAAAGAAATAGGAGAGGGATTAAAATAGGATAGATGCAATGAGGTGGCATGCCACGTGGCATCCACCTCAGCGATATGTCAGGTCACGTGGGATAATTTTGCCATGGTGGGGTCCTAACGACAGAGGGGTATTTTTGCACCAGTTTTATGACATTGGAGGCTATGATGGACCAATAGTATAACGGAGGTATAAGTGGATATTTTTGAATAGTAGAGTAGCATATTTGACCATTATATTTTTTGGGAAAGGGCCTCCACTTTATGTCGTTTTATACCTTCTCTATAGTTTCCCTCTGCTCCGGATCAATTGCCCCAAGAGAGTTGAAAAATTCGATCAAATGTGCTGATTATATCACAATTATCATTGGTTTCTGCCATGGCCTTTTGTTCATAGACAAATAATAATTCTTCAAACACTAATTCCTACGACAACGTGCCATTGAATTGCTCTAACTGCGATCTTAGCTTGTAGTTCCACGAGGTATCACAAGAAGCTTCATAAATCTAGAATTAATTACAAATTTCCAGTTAATGAGATCAATTGCAAAAACAACAGTAATAATCCACCAGTACTCGCGACCTCCCAATCTGATTCTTAATTCGCAATTACAAGCACAATACTGTTATCATGAAATCACCAAACACTTCAAATTTATTTCAGAACTTCATAAGCTCAATTGATTTTCTAATGGTCATGCTAAAATATCGGTTAACTCTTAACATCAGGAATTGTACAGCTAAAATTCAGATTCATTACAAACTAAATCTGTCACTTGAATAGCAGTGAACAAGTACACAAACTAAAATAAGTGATATGGCATCAAAATACTCGACAAATTCACCTTAGATTTTCAGCTTTAAACGAACATTTAAAATTATGTTATAACAGATCAATCAAATGTAGACAAATTTGGTAATTGATCACCATGAACATACTATACTAGATATGGATACAACAAGTAATTCAATTTATTATTTATACATTCAAAGAGAG